TTCCGGAATGAGATAGGCCAAGAAGGCTTTAGGGGTTGGGACACGCATACAAGGAGGATTGAAATAACCAAACATACCAGAAAGTAATCAGCAACCGGCTTCTTGGCCGGCATCCCTCTTGTATCCTGCGCTGCCGCATCGAACACCCTATACCTTCTTCCAGGTCCTAGTATCCTTCTCTGCTGGGTTTGTTGCCTGATATCAGTAACGCCAGGACTCCGTCCATAGTCGCCATTGCTCCTTGCAATTGTTCCCCCGTTGCTAGTATCTTCACCTAGCTCCAATATTGCAGCCACATTGCCGCACCTGTAGCAATAATTCGGCGCAGACCAGACAGTCACGATGCCACCGTCGAACATCTCTTTGAACCCTTCCATAACGAGTTGATGAGCTCGAGCGATGAGCGAGAGGTCATTTTTGTGGCTGAAATGTTTGACGATACCGCCGCCGAAGAGAAAGCCTGCTCCTCGTGGGGATAGGCCCCAGCCTTCGATTTCGTCCGGGTCGGACCAAAGAAGGTCGCACATGGCGCCTTCATGTGGCACTTCTTGTTTTCGGTCGATGAGGCGGATTTTATCGATACTGTCCACTAGTGGAGACAGCCCACCGTGGACGCAAAAGACGGCACCGGTAGTGTTTCCAATACTGCCCATACTATCAGAAGTGGCGCCAGTGCCGGCGGGACCAGATCTTGTGGGGGTGCCCGTTGGCAACGATGAAGATATGTCCTCTCGGACGTCAGTTGAACTATCTTGTGAGCCGCCACCGCTGTCTCTTCGTCTATATGTAGAAAACGTAACTTCGCCTTTTGAATTCAGCACTTCAGATTCCAGCTCTTCATCCCCAGTAGCGATGGCGGATTGGGTGGCATCGTTAGTCGCGGGACCCGAGGGTTCCAACTCAGAGCTGGCACCCAGTATCAAAGCACCCAATGCCAAATAATCAAAAACCTCACAACAATAACGCCAAACATTAGCACTGCCATATTTCCGAATACATTCGTCGTAAAAGCCATACACGGTCGTGATTTGCCTGGATTCGTGGTTGCCACGAATCAGGGTTATGCGGTCAGGGTATCGAACTTTGAGACAAAGGAGAAGAAGGAAAGATTCGAGAGAGTAAAAACCGCGATCGACAAAATCGCCCATGAACAGATAATTCGTATCTGGCACATCACCGCCCACGCGGAATAACTCCATCAGATCATGAAACTGGCCGTGGATATCACCGCAGATGGTCACCGGCGCGTCGACAGAGACCACATTTCCCTCCTCGATGAGGAGCTCGCGTGCTTTATAACAGAGTTCTCGCACTTGGTGTTCGGGTATTGGGCGACAAGCGCGGAGCTGCGCAATAGCCCTAGGTACAGGAAAATGAAATAACCGGTCATTAAAAATGTTTGATAGCTTACATCAGAAGATGGAGCTTCCGCTTACTTGTCTAGATCGCTCATGGTGGAACTCCCTCCGCACACACAGAACGCACGCCCTAGCCCCTTGTCTTCTCTCCTCCAACTGAATCGCTGACGCTAAGGAGTGTACCGAGGGAGACGGTCCAAGTGGCGGAGGGCGTAAGTCGGTATCCAAGAAACCGATGATATACTCCCCAAGCGAGCGCCGACGATGGATCGACGTATGCAGAGCCGCAAGGGAAAGGGCAGGGTCTATCTCTGCAGGGCGATGAAGGTCATGTTCGTTGAGAAGTGGTCTCAAAGGCTGTTGCAAGATTCTCGGAGCTTGTGCTGTGGGTGTGGTCGATCTTATCAAGGTCGATGCAGCTGGAGCATGCAACAGGTGATTGGTTATGTCAGCGAGGATAGCGTTGGTCTGTGCGCCTGGTGAAAGTACAGCTTGAAATATTATAACTAACTACTACACCCTCTAATGGAGTAACTACTTCTGTTGACGCTGCTTTTCAACCACTCTACTTACCTAGCTCGAAATGCTAGCAATTATATCTCTTCGTTATGTTAAAGTTGATGGCTTCAAGTATCATATAGCCCGTCCCGTGTGCCCTTCATATCTCGACGTGTAAGACGCTACGAACTGTGTTACATCCCAGTCCAATTTCCCAGTCTATACGTGAAGACTCAATACACTTAACTCATTTCCCTCCATTCATCCTCCATTTAATATGGTTTGTAATCTCGGTTTCAGTTAGGTACCTCGGAATGGGGGTTGATTGTGTCCGGCCTTAATCAACCGAACAAGGGGTTGACAATGGGCACGTAGAAGTCATTCTCCATTTTCCTCGTGGCCCAAGTAAAATTGAATCACCTTGAAACAGATGTGAGATCCTCATTTGTTGGGGCCGATGACTCTGAGAGCGTTGATATAACCCGCACTAAACCGTTTAATCGCAACCAGACAAAACACATTCACCATACAATGACCTCTTACAGGTTGATACGGATACGAAAGAAGCCACAGTATTGAGATGGATATCACCTGAAAGTTTTAAGAATGGCATTGTCGGTTGCCTGATTGTATCCACGCACTCAGGTAGCTAGCGGAAAAATCAAACTTAAAGGCGGTTGATTGATCTTATGTGTGCAAAGAGGGGTTAAAGTACGACTTTCTCCTTGAGACATATTGACGTAGAGTACACAAAAAGACAAAGAGATGTAATAATATATTGTGTTAGGCTGAGAAACCGCTCGCAGACATAGAAAGATGAATATGCGTCCGGAGTTGAAGCTTGTAATCTAGCTTTAAACAGCTACACATGTGAGAGAAGGAAAAGAGTGAAAATCTGTGGTGGGACACCTTTACCTTCGGCAGAATTGGGTAGAATCGAAGCTCCCTTGCAGGAGAGATGAAAGAACTTCCTTCGATCAAAACCATATCCTGCTATTCGCAAAGGACCCAAAGTAGTAATCATCTAAACTAATTCCCGCTCAGATTGACCAGAAGATGTTCAATTCGTTTCAGAGCGGCAATGACCCGTGCAGATAGCCCAAATAGATTTCCCATTGTGGGTACCTGTGAGAGCGAGAGGAGCTTATAATGTGTGAGCAATTGCTTCTCAATAGAAACGAAGGGGACAAGCATCCCTTTTGCCCTTGTCTGTTTCTTTCTTCCTTGTTTTTATAGATCATCTTTGGGAGATTTCAAGAACCACGTGAGATGCTAATCCGCATGGTTTGATTGGCTACCGGCATGACATAATTCCTGCCCGGTCCGTTTTCACAACTCTTTCGGGAACTCGGATTTCTTGGGTTCAATGATCTCTAATATTCCGTCCGGGCGGTGTAATGGATCTAGAGGCATGTAAAACTATTGCCCCTACGGAGATTGGTCTCAACGAAGTTGCTAACAATCCAATTGCGCATCTACAGGGGGTTAACGGCGACAGCAAGAACAAAAAAATATTGCGAACTACAAAGACTCCTCCGACGTCTCCTCCACCACGTCCCATGGCGTCTACGCTCCTTGGGTAATTACCATAACAAGGAACGACAAGTGACCCATTGGGAAAAAAACCTACTTCCAACAATGCCTTCTTATCTCCATCCGCGGTCGCGCTCGACCGTCTCCCTCTTCACAATTACCCTCATGTCGTCGCTCGTCATCGTGGGCATACCACATCTCTTCCCCTGCCCCGTGCCGCGACATGCCTACGCTGATTCCGAAATGATCATGTCCGCCGACGGACAGCAGAGGATGGTACGGAAACGTAGAAGAAAGCCTGCCGAGCCCCGGCTGCATGGTGAAAGCGACGCGAATTCAGCTCTTATAGATGATACGACTACCCAAATCCACACGGCGATGCCGGAGAATTCAATACATCGACAACAAGAGGGGATTGTAGATGAAGAGATTGTGAAATTCCGGCAGATGGAAGCGGAAGCGAGGAATTTGGCCACGGTCAAGAGGGAATGTCCGGTGCCGAAGCCGGGGGGCGTGATCGGCCAGCTTCTTGGCTTTAGGAGTCAGGATGCGGGGAGTGGGAGGGACGGGATCCCGAGGGCAGATATACCGGGGCGGGGGAGCGGGTCGTGATTTTTTTCTCTTCCTAGCAGCAGGATGTGGATAATGTAAAACATGGACATCCCAATGTGGGGGATTGGATGCGGGCCTTGGATATTG